GTATAAATTATTTTTCATATAATTTATTAATTTGACAGATTTCGCCCCTAAAATGTCTGTTTAAATCAAAGCGAATACAGGATCATAATTCATGAAATCATTTAGTACTATTCCGTACCATCCGTCCTACCTGACAAAACTTAAACCTGTGAGTAAAGTATTCAAGACTAACTTGCACATTATTCATAAATTCAATACTTTTAAAGACCCTTAATTTTAGAAACATAAATATAAGACTTTTCAGGGACCCGCAGACACACTGGTCCAGATGATGCTCTGCAGGAATGGAGGCGTTTGGGTCTCAAACTAACCGGTGGGGGCTGGTTGCTGTTGGGGCCAGAAGCTCGAGGAGCTCCTGCCTGAGTGCCAGAGTGTCCCCCGCCAGAAGAGGGGATGGGGGCCTCCCCCAGCTCAGCCATGAGGGACAGGTACTCCTTGTCCATCCGAGCCTTGTCCTGTGCTGACTGGGGGGGCTCAGCTCCTGGTGCTCTCTGGGCAGCAAACGTGCTGTACAACACAAACAGTAACGTTAGAGGATCTGCAGCAGGCAGCACGAGATGCAGAACTTCCTAACTAACATCACCTGGTGTATTTGCAGTCAGACGAGATGTGGCCTGCTCCACCACATTTGGTACAGAGGGTGGTGTTGGTGATGCTGCGAGGCTCAGTGTTCTGCCAAGGACGAAGGATTCTACAACGAAAAACATCTGGTCTTCAGTGGAGCTCTGTTTGAACAGATGGTGTATTTGTTCCTGAACAAACAGCAGGCTGCATTGAGCTTCAGGAGCTCTGGACAAACCTGTTATCATCCTCCCTCAGGGTGCCGTTGAGTCTGGCCAGCTCCCTCAGCTGCATCTTTCGTAGGTCGTTCTGGTCCTCAGGAGTCTCRATGCCCTGTTTCAGGATGTTACGAATCTGTGGACACATTTCTATCCTCAGTACAAACTGGACACTTTAATGAACTGACATTAGACTGACGACCTGGTCCCAGCAGGTCAGACCTGTTCCACAGCTTTCTTCACGTTATCCATTGTGTTGGCAGTGACCAGCGCRTGCAGAGGCTCATCTTCTCCCGGCAGCATCTGTCCATCTTTTCGACCAACCTTCCCTTCTTTCACAGAACCTTTTCCTCGAATCATGATCTTAGCACAGCATTCTTTCTCAATGTTCTTCAACGTATTACCACTGAAAGAAGAGAACTGGTTTCAAATGCACTGTCATATTACTTAAACCCAGAAAACCACCAATGCCTGCCCACTACATCCACCACCTGTAGAGCAGGCCTAAAGATCTACTTACCGTGGTCCGATTAGCAGGCCAACAAAGTTGATTTCAGGATATTCATCTTGAGGGATCATAACTTTGTCACTGACTCTTGTGGCTGGGGGTCTGCAGGGAACAACAAATTCATGAATTACCGTAAAATTCAGTAAAATTTAAATAAAAAAACCCTGCCATCTTTGCCTTTCTGTTTAATTTGCTGACGGCGCAATGAATTCTGGGATACCGTAGGATACTCAGATACAGCTGAAGTTTTGTCGGCTGCATGAGTAAGTGGCTGTGAATTGGACAGCCTACGGYGGGGGCAGTGATGTAAGCAGCTGACAAATGAGGCTGACGTCGGCTGCAACCCATGAATTGAGACACAGCCTTTACACAAACCATTACTCCCTGCAGAGTTTATTCCCTCTGCTTTTAATCATGAGCRTTGATGTGGTTAGGCTCTGGCTGTCAAGAGTAGACAAGTATAGATGCAGTTCTATTTTAATCAAGCATTAAGTTCTTTAAATCATTTGCTGCTGAATTATGTTTGCCTGAAAACACAAGCAGGCTGCTGTAATACATCTAAAGTGTGTATTTTGGGCACAATGACAGGGATAAAGTAACAGTAAATGAAAATCGTGCATAGGGTGGGGGTACAACTTGACCATAACCCATCTAGTTTCTTTATAACTGTCAGGAAAAAGGATAAAGTTATTCTATTGGCATTAAACAACAAACTTCAAAGAAAGGTGATGTGACCAATAATATTTTAGAAAAGCAGCTGTTATCAGCTGTTCTCTTTCTTTGGGGGCATCACCGGCTGACTGAGTGGGAGTCATACTTGTAGTCTGCAGGAGGCTTGAAGTCGGGGTTGAGGTTAATCATTTCTGTGATCAGGGAGTGCCGCTCCTCCTCGATCTTCTTTCGGGTGCGATACTCGCGGGTGTTTAGCCTTTTGCCCTCGCTGTTATAGATGGGCTCTGGAGAGGGAGACCTAAGAGCAGCAGACAAAATACAAGACAGACACCACTGAAAGCTCTTCTGCAGTGGAGCTCTGCAAACATCAATCATCCAGACTATCTAGAGCTGGCTAACAACAGGAACAATTTAAAAATGATCTCTAGTCAGAAGCTAAAGTAATCTGTATCACAGATAATTATCAGATTGACTTGGACTCATGGCCAGCACATGAGCAAATTAAACTATCAGCTGTGCACTGACATGTTAAGAGCTAGAGTCCATGTTTTCCAAACAATCAGAGCAAGATGGGGGCAAAAAAACTGCATCAAGGCAAGGCATCAACCACAGGAAAAACAGACAACCAAAAGTAAATTCACCACACACACAGYGCCAGTCGAAAGTTTCCGATCAACTTAAATCTGCTGCTGTCCAAACCTTAGACTGGTACTGCATATATATGAATCAGGCCAGAACTACACCTGCATACAGGATTGTTGGCCTACAAGAAAGAACAGTTGGAGGTCAGAAACCAAGGTAGACTTGTAATGCTAAGCAGAGACACTGGCTTTGAGAGATGCTGGGTGACGACGTGGTGGTAGAGGTCCGTACCTCCCCCTGGATGCTGAAAACCTGCATTGATGTGTTAAGAAGGCTCTGTGTTTGAAAAATGGTTAGGTTGACGTGGGGTAATTTGGGTTAGAGGAAAGGAATTAAGATTAGATATCCACCTTTTTCTATGCTCTCTAATCAGAGAGCTATTTTTGTGAGAGAGGAAACAAAAACTGCTTCCTTATTAAGCTTCAAACTTCCAACGGTGACCACCTGAAACATCTCCCAAGTTGTTCTTCTGTTACATAGAACGATTTAAGAGCGCTCCAGACGTTTAAATTTGTAGCTCTYGTAGAAATCTCTGAAAAAACTAAGAGTTCAAAAGTCAAGGGGGCTTAATCTAGCAGAGATCAAGTGGACACACTGTTGAGGGCAAGCCACTTCCTGCAGGAACAGTTCCTACGTTACAGGCCGACTGCTTCTCTTCCAAAAAAAGAGCAATTCTGGCAGTTTTCTTCAAGATCTCAAGAGTCCAGAGGGAAAACTGGAACGCAGTCCCCTTCACCCTGGTGGAAATGTTTAAAGCCACATTAAAAAAAAAACCTGAGACAGCCAGCAAAAAAATCATTTGTTAGGTCTATGAAAGAGCCAATTCATCACTGGTCTGTTAGCAAACAGGCTACATGCCATGAGAGGAACCCCATAAACGAAATCAGCATGAGATCACTAATAATAATGTCAGGGAAGTGGGTATTTTATCAATCTGCTTTTATCTGAAAGGGAAAATAGCTAMATCATCTGAGCTATTGTGTTTAAAAATATATCCAAAGAGACAAAAAYCAGTAAGAGCACAAAGTCTGGTGACCAAAGCCTGTTTCAAAGGAAAACCTTCATACATTATGCACCATACTGCATTGTATTATTGGTTTATACAGCACAATGCATCAGACAGTGACTGAAAACAGAATGCTTTAAAGCCCAAATCTGAAGCTGGGAAAGAGTTTATAAAAAGTAACTACATTTAATAACAAAGAGGTGGAACTACCCAGGACTCTGGTGGTCACAACCCAAAAATAAAAAATATAAATCTCAGATTACACTAACCTGTTTGATCCCTGAAACCCCACTTATTGGCTTTAATCATTAAGCTATTCTTTATTTTTTAACCCAAGACTGAAACACTGTTTAACTGCGTTTTGACTTCACTCTTTAGACTTTCAAGCGGATCTCACAATCTTCCTCTGCTGGTGGATGGCAGGCTCTTCACCTTYGGGGAAGACCATGATGTTCGACTGAAAGCTCAAAACATACAAACGTGGACTGGAAGTTTGTGACAATTTCGACTAAAATAAATTACATTTTATTAGTCTCCACAGATTTCAGGGAGACCAACTGTTCATAAGTTCCACCTATATTTACTTTTTAGTTTCACTTTTCCCTTAAATACTTCAAGCTTCAAYATGTTTTTATTCCAACACAATTTAAAACATGTCTCAGTGTCTTAGGTGAAAAAACAAATGTAAAATACTGTATTTCCACAAATGAAGGCCATGGTTTCATCCAAAAAGTTAACTRTGTGTAATTTAACAGCAGGTAGAAACAAGATAGTTCAGTTTGATGATGTWGTGAAACTGATATGTTGTACTAAATATTATTACTTTGCGATTCTACACAGATTTTGGAACATTTTTATTTTATTTTATTGATCTCCTGGTCACAAGTTGAGTCAGGCGTTTGACTCAAACACCAGCTAATGCCCTAAGGTTTTGTGTATTTGGTTTTTACTTTTATTCTGGTTTGTTATTAAAGTCAACTAATTGAGGGAACAGAGGTCAGAGGACCAATGTCTGAGTAATAATTTATCATTGCTGAGGTTAAAGTGCTCAATAACACAACTAKTAATAACGATTTCTGACTGGAACTATTTATGATCAGGACTGAAGCTTTTTCTGAAGCAGTTTTGTAATGAAGAATAACTGCCACCTTTTAATGATGTTATGACAGGTTTTTAACTGTTTTATGAATGCTTTTCATATTGTAATTGTTTATTCTTTTTAAATGGTTTTATTTTCATATTGCTAAAAGCCTGTTTAGGGACTGGCATTGTAAATTAGCCTAGGCTAGAGTATAAATGTGCTGTAAATACTTGACATTTGTCTCTATACGAATAAATAAGATAAATGAATACAGTAACTTTGTGAAGATTTGAACATATTGGTATATATTTTCCCCAATCAATAAAATTTCACATTAGTATTAGTACACATCACTTGGCAATAGTTTTAATGTGCTTTATTCTAGTATTAATTCGGATAATGTAAGATCTTAGCTGACCGATCTAAGGTGGTTTGTATAACAGTAACAGATAACTCTGAAGAAGATTTAAACAAGTGATATGATGTTCAACGGCTTCATTAAAACACTTTATTCCCTGTTATTTCTGCCAGTTGTTTAAGGAAATACAGCATATAAACCTAAAAAGTCAAAGAAATGCATTAAACCATAAGCTATTATTGCAACTCTGWCATTATTTTCTATTCTGTCATGATTGACACCATCTCCAAACTAACAGAATTACATTTTTTTTTAGAATTTCCTTAAATTCCTGCTCAGTAACATTACTAACAGTACAATGTTTTTAGTTAATAGTGACAGAATAACATTCAGCKTTATAAATAATATCTCTAACCTCTCTATCAATTAGCTCTGGTAAAGAGAGAACCTGTAAGCTCCTACAGAAAACCCTGCTCTACAATGGCATTTAAACTATTCACATTTAAAATGCAAAAATGGGAATTTGTCTTCCAAACATTCAAGAATGTAGAGAAAGTGTTACTGTTCGAGGGTTTAATCTTTTTCCAACCTGTCCTCAGGGTTAACAGGGATTCCCAGGTCTCCTGTACGCAGTTTACGAGTCAGGTCTTCAATCTGCAGTTGGACTGGAAGAATTCAGGTTAGGAAAGAAAAACAAGGATGGAGAGAAATGTGGTTACCACAACAACATCAGAGAGACAACGCTCTACACTTTAGAGCACAGTCTCAGTCAGTACAGACATTTGGTGAAATCTGCTAAATAAAAAGGGAGATCAAACAAACATATCTGATACGACTAAAGCATGAAACCACTTCCTCTTTAGGTGGTATCAYAGATTGTACTCACTATCGATATGCTTGTGAGGTCGTTTAAAGTAGGGTTAAAAATAAATTAATAAATCAACCTTTTCTTGGACAATGATTAAGCAAGACAACACGTCAAATGATGAAACCATGATTCCTAAAAATGCCAGCCATAAGATCAACTCTTCAAACAATGCTGAGGTTGACTTTCATCATTATAATGAACTMGTTTTAATGGCTCTGGCATTCTGAGGACACATTTTGGTCCATTTGTTTTGCAAGTTTCAATAACAAAACAGGTGATTGGTCACGTTTTGCACTCCACAGATCTAACACTGAGGGGCAGCTGTGACACAGAACAAGTCTTGCATTTAGGAGGCAATGAGGAACAAAATAGATCAGTCATTTCATGCACAGTATGGAGTTGTGAAGGAAAATCCCCTTGAACACTGATTTGTTGATCACTGAAACTCTGGGTGACTGAGATGAATACAGGCCTGTGACTCTGATGTTCACAGCATTTTTATCTTAAAGCTTGTTTTAGGGGATCTACTTGACTAGAGAAGAAACAAAAAMCTAAGTGTGACAACAGAGGGTGGGCACAAATGAATGCTTACATAGCAAGGAAGAACAACCATTACCAATGAGAGGACAGGGTCAATAATGATGTTAGTTACTGATGAAGTGTGTGTTGGGGCAACACTGCTCCTCAAGGCATGTGGGGGGGATTTGTTTCATCATTGCTCTGGGGTTTGAACCTGATCGATTTGTCATAAAGCTAGTATCTCATTGAGCTACAACTGCTGGCAACCAGTTGGCAACAGCATTTGAGTCAGAGTGACTGAAATAAACATGTTCTAAGTTCAAATAAGACTCTGARCCTCTGAGTCACGAGGAGGTGGAGTACCTCCACAAACACTGTTCACAAGCAGGTCACCAACAGTCACAATCCTGTGAGGTACTGGCTCAAGTTTCTGTCTTTACAAAATGATTATTTTACGTGCAGCAGCATTTAGTCAGACACTGCATGCGTTCAGTGAAACTTGGGGAAAAAACAACTTGCAGTTTGTCTTATTTTACWGTAGATTTCTTTGCCATCAGAGCAGCATTGTTCCCATTCAGACCAATTGGACAAAACTCATTATTTTGCTATGTTAGGATATTATGGCTACGTTCACACCGCAGGGCTTAATGCTTAATTCAGATTTAAAAAAAAAAAAAAAAAATCAGATGTTTTGGCATGGACGCTCACATTATATTTAAAATGTGACCTCCAGCTGACTTCAGAATGAACTCTGCCCAACCCCAACGTAACCWAAAATGTGCAGGAAAAGACACGACGTCACATTTAGCTCGCTGTTTACAGAATTAGCTAAATATGGATGCTACTTGTTAGCGTGTTGATTCTGATATTGTGCTGTCAGAGCTCATTAAAAACAATTATCTGACCTGCTTGTTTAGTTCAGTGTTTATATCTGAACCTGCCTCTGACCGGATGCTCCGGTGAAGCTTTGAATTTTGGAACGACGAAACGTGTTGGAAGTGAAGTATCGATTGAGTAACTTTAGTATCGTTACCATCCTATGTTTCTGTGGCTTCTCAGTCATCCAGGACATGGAAAATTAAAGTCACATACTGAAAAGATACTGAAAAAAGTTGGATTTGAAAAAAATTAATAAAAAAAAAAATTAGATCAGATTTATTCAGACTGGCATAAAAACATCTGATATGGGTCACATGGGTAAAAAAAACAGGATTTGAATAACATTTGGCTGCATGTGAACGTAGCCTTTGATGCCTTCATGCATAATGATAATGAGGACATGTCGGGAATCAGGCAAAATGCTGAGGCTCAGGACTGTTCATAGCAGACAATGGTGTTTAAGCAGCTATCAGACCCCTCTTGTTAATGGCTGCCCAATAGTATGCAAACTGGGAGACTACAAAACACAGCAGAACCACTTAAAGRAAACGAACAGAACACCTTACATCAACATTTTATAGTTACTGCTCATTAGAGAAAATTGCTTTGTCTCAACAGTTGGAGCAAAATTAGACATCTTTCCTTTAGGCAAAAAGCACAACATGATGAGAAAGCTGGAAATGTTTTTAGCACCAGTTTGAGTTAGTAATGTACATGCCTTAAGAAAGCTCTAACTGTTGGGAATTCAGCAAACAGGAAACATTATTAATACTGGTACCATGTCAAGAAACTAAAACTTTAAACAACCAGAACTGCTCTGACATTCAATAAACTGCATTAGCAATGAAATCACAAGGCAATATTTGCTAAAAACAAATGACATTTACCTATATATGCTCTCTCTTGATCTCGTGTGAGTCCAGGGGGAATAACTGTGGGCATTCCCGGGATAACAGTCTTCTGATCGGGTGTCTCGCTGCTCCATCGACTCTTCTTCCTCGGTTTCTTCTGGCCGAAATCTACAAAAACAAACAGCATATATTCCACCCACTGGAGCTTGAAAACACAGGAGAGAACACTTTCCAATGCTAATATCTTAAATGTGAGTTTAAAGATACAGTCAACACTAAGGTCAGATGTTCATTCTGCAGGTGTATTTTATAGAAGAAAAACAGCAGGAAACTATTAACATACTTTAAATCATGTTAATCATATGATCTGAGCATTAAAAGTTCACTTCCTGATTGATTAATCTGGACCAAGTTTGCAAAAATAGCGAAAAATGTAAAGCAAACATGTATATTTCCTCTCAGTGCTGATCAGTGCATGTCTAATAAAACACCTGCAGAGACAGGGGCTACACCTCTACAGGAAACACAGGTGGACTGGCTTTTCAGCACCTTTCCTTTCTTTATTAGAAAAAATTAATGACTGAAGTGTTTTACAAGGTCATCATGTGTTTGTTATGGAGAAAAAAATAATAACCTTTACATATGCTCATTTTTCTCCACACACTATTTCTGCTTGCAAATAATGTTTTTCAGAACTTTATTTAGTGGGATGTAACTCTGAATACTAACAGAGTAAAAATGTGGATTATTAATTTTACTAAAGCCCTGAAGAGATGAAAGCTCAGATATAACAAACTAAATGGGACCAGATTTAATTTCCTTTCAAATCTGCAGCAGAAAACTGCATCTTGTAGAAATGAAGTTCCAACAAGGTTTTTATTAGATTTTACCATTTTACCCTCGAATTTGACTTTAAAATAAGCATATTACATTGTTTTTCATAATTGCAGAAAGCCACAACAAAGATAAAACCAAATATTTTCTGTGTTTTTTTTATTAATTCTCTTTTCTTCAGTCTTTATCTTAAACTTCCTGTAAGTTAATAAATTAATTTCTCTATAAAAGATCACTAACCAGTGTTTTGTTGAGGTTATTTACCAACAAACAATAAATGGTTGCAGGTTGTGTAAATTAGATGACGTAAGGCCTCGTCTGACTGGGTAAACATACGAATGCAATAAAAATATATCTCAAACGATTAAAGGTTACTTTAACGTTTTCTGTTCGACTCGCTAGGATTTAGTTTAAGAAGCAGTGCTAGCGGATGGACTCCATTTCGTGTGGCTACAGTTTAATGGAGGACTGTCTGCAGTGCCAGCGTGTCGGGAGCTAGCTAGCTAGCGGATGTTTAGCTAGCTTACCGTTAGACATGATTCCGGCTCCCACAGCGGACTGTTGTTGAATCTGGGTGGGAAACCCTGGGTTGAACTGGTGTGGGGGAGCAAAAGATGTGTTGGGCATGGGGGGCTGGTAACTCTGTAGAGAGGGAAACGATCCGGGAGGTCCCGGTGTTGGCATCAGCCCGTTGCCTCCAGCACCAGGCCCGGCGTCGAATCCTCGTTTAGCGCCGATACTGGGGTGCAACTTCCCCAGAGGAGTTGCGTTTGCTCCCGTGGCCATTTCCAATCAGCTGAAATGGCTCTGTGTTCGTCAGACGTTGGTTCGCTACGATATTTAGGTTAAAACGAGCGAGTTTGCTCCAGAACAATGACCCGTCCCTAGTTTTCAACAACTCACTCAAAATGGCGCACAACAGAAAACCACAAAGGTTGATCCTGAGAAATGACGTTCCTGTAAAATGGATTCCTAATGGCTACGGCTCGCGCGTGTATTCTAACATTTGATTGGCTCAAAGTGCCTGTCAATTTAATCTGACCAATCACCGATCAAGGATGATGCCCCTCCCACCCAGAAAGACACGTAATATAATATAATATAATATAATATAATATNAATATAATATAATATAATATAATTTTTAATCAGCTGTAAGCTCAAGAACAATCAAACCTGAACTGAATTGTAAACTTTAATTTTTCATAAAGTAATCTTTTACAACATTTAAAACTTAATACTTAGAGTCAAAATGAAGCATGCTGGCCACCACAACCACCTGGGCATACACAAAACTGGCTGTTTCTCAATTAGAAAATAAAACAAATTTGACCGTCTCTATTCTTTATATTCCTTTCTTTATTTTTTCTCATGTTTATCCTTTTGTCTGTGTCATTTTTTGGTTTTATGCATCCTTTGTGGCTTTTTCCATGTGCTATGTGTATCCTCCTTGTACCTTAATAAAATGTGTTGTCTGCTGCTTGATCTGTTTCTTTTTTTTAAAAATTCAACATTTGTTTAGCTAATATTCGACTTCAGTAAATTTTAACAGTTTTCCTACTATTTTCTGCTAAATGTCAACAGAAATTCAAGTAGTATAGACAGTTCAGATGTTRAAGTGTTTAAAATCAGCCTCAGTCTGTTCAGCAGCTTTCAGCAAAGCAATAAGCTGCTCACTGCAGCTAACGGACCTGACTCAAAACACTGGTTAAAGTACCAAACATGTCTGAAAAATGAGCAGGTCTCCTTTATTCAACAGGTCAACACTTATCCAAAACAAATGTCATTTCAGTCCTGAATGAATGAAGCAGGGTTTCATAGAGTGAAAAGCAGAAATGAAAAACACGTCTGGAACAAACTGCAGAGCAATATGAGTGTGGCTCTGCCTGAGCAAATCACACCAGGTGCCAGACTTGTGCTGTCTTATAGGAGTTCTACTTTTTTTACTGAGACAAAAATAGGCTTTACACTACAAAAATATGAGAAGAGACAACCTTTCCAGGARGAACACTGTGCTGACTCCTACAGAGGCAGGTGAAGGGAGTAGTGCGAGCAGGTCCAGCGCCGCACAGGTTTGCCCACTCTGCCGATCACAGGCAGTTTGTGGGCGTAGGCACGTGGAGGAATGGCAGGAAGAGGCGGAGTCAAAGCAAAAGTGGTCTGAAAGGGGCGGCGGCCTTGGCAGCGCCGACCCATCTGCCTTCCGCCGATAACGAAGGAGATCACCGGGGGTCCGGCGTGAGGCGAGGTRAAGCGAGCTTTGGGAAAAACCTCCCGAGACAAACCTGCTGAGCGCTGGCCCAGACGTGACGAGGACGACCTGGAGCGCTGCACGGAGGACGAGCGGGCTACAGACCTGATGAGAGACAGTGTCCACAGCTTGAATCACATTTATCATGAGTCCTGTTAGAGTTTCACATTTTATTTAACCATTCACACACCAAAACATTCAGCTGTTAGCTTTTAGCTACACTTTAGTTAACCATTCATGCACCAAAACATTCAGCTGTTAGCATTTAGTTACACTTTATTTAACATTCATGCACCAAAACATTCAGCTGTTAGCTTTTAGCTACACTTTATTTAACCATTCACACACCAAAACATTCAGCTGTTAGATACACTTGTGTTGTTTTAGCTATCATTCAGCTTAGTTAAAGCAACAGTTCAGTTTCAGCTTAGCTGTACTGTTTTACCTTCCTGATCCTGTGGCTGCGAGGCTAGGTGGGGGTGGGTCAGTGCGGGGGCTCTCATCCTGCCTGGGGCTGATGTTGAGGTTGGCCGTCAGCTGTGGCATCTTGCGGGTGGTGTCGGGGTTGGACACGTGGCCGAGGGGCTCCTTCCGGGTGTCTCTGAAATGGGACGGGACACAGGGGGGGTAGCTGCCGAAGCCCGGACCTGTGCTGAACCTGACGGCCAGGCTGTCCCCGAAGAAGGAGTAGAGCTCAGAGTACATGGCGGGGAGAGGAACCGGGGACCACTCCTCCCAGTGACAGCCGGCCCCGCCTGCCTGCAGGTGGATGGCGATTCCGAGGGCAGCCTCAGACAAGGGCTCTGGAGGGGGGCTGAGGCCTGGGGAGCTGACTCTGTAACCCACAGAGCCTGGCACAGAACCGGGCTGAGCACTCAGAGGCCTGTCAGCGGGCTGAGACAGAGACAGGGCCTTCATCCTCAGAAGACGCTCCACTGCCACCTGCAGGACACAAGAGCCTTCAGCACATTGATGATGATGATGGTACAGACATGGTTTGAAACCATTCAGGTATAATTTAGGTTTCTAATATGTTGACCTGATAAGAACTATGTCCCACTCTGATGGTGGTAATCTATACCAGGGGTTCTTAAACTTTTTGACCTCGGGGCTCAATTTGTTGAACATAAAGAGGCACAAGGCCCAGTCACACATTACTAATGTAAGAGGTCTATAAAGTACTTGAAAATAATAACTAAGTAAAAGTAAAAATACCTTAACAGAAAATGACTTTGATAAAAATAAATGTCTCTGATGATAAAACTACTTAAGTAAAAGTCATAAAACTGTTCACAAAAACTGGGAAAGTTGAAGTAAAAGTAAACGTACTTTTCCACGCTCTCTAACAAACAAACAGTTAAATTTACAGATCAAAACTGGCTCCACAAACCAAGTTGAATACATTGGTCAATTTCTTTAAAATAAAATATGTTTATCACCTCAAAATTTACTCTACTGGCTTAGTAGAAATAGTTGATTTGGTTTAGTTGAGTAAATTCAACACTTAATTTTTTAGAGCAGATAAACAACTCCTTTCACGATGAGTTCAGACAGATTTAATTTATAACAAGTAACTAGGTGTTAAACTTTAAAGTAAAGTAAAAGCATCATTTTTTGGTTTTTCGAAGTAACTACCGTATTTATTCGTGTATAATATGATCTCATGTATAATACGACCCCCCCTATTTTTATCTTAAAAAGCATAAAAATTTAATTCACATACTACCTCTAATTTCATATGGACTTCAGGATTTTTCAGCCTTTGCAGTCTTT